AGAGAGAGAGAGAGAGAGAGAGAGAGAGAGAGAGAGAGAGAGAGAGAGAGAGAGAGAGAGAGAAGAGGGAGAAGAGAGAAGAGGGAGAAGAGAGAAGAGAGAAGACAGAAGAGAGAAGAGAGAGGAGAGAAAGAGAGAGAGAGAGTCTCAGAGAATGGGGGAGGCAGACAGAGAGGGAGAGAGAGGAGGTAAGAGACAGGGAAGAGGGGGAAGGGCAAGGAGGAGAAGAGAGGGAATCGAGAGGACGAGGAGACGAGGGACAAACGTGACGAAGTTATAAAAGAAACGCGAAGAGAAAAGGCAGGAAGTGAGGAGAAGGGGACACAGGAGGAGAGGAAGCTTGTTTTAGGCAGCCGAGTGGAGGAGGAGGAGGAGGAGGAGGAGGAGGAGGGGGAGGCGGTGGCAGAGGAGAGGAGTGAAGGGAGGGAGGATAAAAGGAGATAGTAGAGTACCGTACTCACCCTTCGTCTTCGGTGTTTGCTTCTTCGAAGCGAGTAGAAGTGAAAGAGAGCGACCATCGCGAACCCTGTAGCCATTCCATACAGAGCCTGGATGATGTACCCAACCGATGAAATCCATGAGTAAGCCGCCCAGGACAGAGGAGCTAGCCCAGCTAGGAATAGCCCAAGAACTGCCCAATTAGGCCTCTTATTGTGCCAAGCCTCCAGAAGTATATCTTCTAAATTCAAATGATCCATATTCTCCTACCTCCTCCTCCTCCGCCTCCTCCTCCTTCTCCTCTTCTTGTTCTCCCTCTTGCTTTCGCTTCCTCAACCTCCTCCTCCTCTTCTTGTTCTCCTCTTGCTTAAGTTGCCTTCGCTTCTTCAACGCAAAGGAACAGATCCAGATTGCACTCCCCGCTGATCGTCCTTCCCGCGCTTTTTGAACCAGTGACTGATTATCGTTCCCGCTCTTTCAAATCACCGACTGCTTGTCCTTCTTCCCGCTCTTTCAAGCAAAAAACGACGGACTGATTTAGATTCCCCGCTCTTTCGAATCCCTCCCTCTCTAATTTTCCTTCCCGCGCTTTCAAATCACAGGCAGATGGTCGTTCCCGCGCTTTCAAATCATTGATTGATTATCCTTCCCGCGCTTCCAAACCCCTACCCCACTGTCGTTTCTCCCGCTCTGTCAAGTCGGCGACTGGCGCCATCGGTGGTTCGCCCCCCCTCCCTCCCTCCCTCCGGGTACTCACGCTCTCTTTCCCGCGCTTTTTCCCTGAACCTTCAGTGAAAGATCGTCTGATTAATCCCGCTCGTCTTCCCCAATTCCTTCTTTTCTTCCCCTTTTTTCAAAGCGAAAAAGAGGCAAATTCTTCAGACCTCCTCTTCCACTTCGTCTAACATAGATCAACGCATGGAGCCATTCCCCCTTTCTTCTTCTCCCTCTCTCCCTCCCTCTCTCTCTCTCCCTCTCTCTCTCTCCCCCTCCCCCTCTCCATCCACCTACCCTCACTCTCCGAGTACTTCCATCTGTTTGCCTGTTCAACTGCTTAATCAATCAACTGTTCGTTTGTCCTTATGTTTGCCTGATTAGACTATCGACCGCTCAATTTATTCATTCTTCTTCTTTCCCTTCTTTTTTTTTCAATCAACCTTATCCAATCACAATCAACCTTATCCAATCACAATCAACCTTATCCAATCACAATCGACCTTATCCAATCACAATCAACCTTATCCAATCAACCTTATCCAATTATCAACCTTACCCGATCTATATTAATCGATCTATATTTAGACAGACGGGTCCGGAGAAGCTAAGGATCGTGCCAGGAAAAAATCCTCCCCCGAATCGATCACAAGAATCGAGCCCGCGACCTCCCACGTGGCCCCACGTGGGACGCTAACAGTCAAATCAAACGGCTAAGTGAACTGGGGCGATCATGGCAGCAGGGTTTTT